AACAATAGACCATTGAGTGTACCCACTGATATTGTTAAATTGAGAGCAATCAGTAGAACCACAAGTATTACACCCATCACTGCAAATAGAGCAACCCAAGCTGTCATCATGTAATTATTATGACACTGTCCACACTTATTTGATCCCATGAGTAGACTGTATCCCTCTGTACATGATCCACACATTCTCTGTCCTCTATTATCCACACATTGAGTATCAGTGTCATTCAACTGAAAGGTAACAGGATTAGGAGAACAATAAAGGAGACAGTCTTCATTGATAATGCATGCATTAGGATTAGTTGCATTAGCATTGAAAGATGTACTGGTATCATATGTTCCAATCCACAGTAGACCATTGTGTGTGATGCTTAGACTAGTTATATTACATGTCACATTCTCTCTTGAAACACTTTGACTGCAAGCACAGATAGATCTACCTTGTGAGCTATCTACACTAAAACCAATGGGACACTCATTAACAATATAGTCCCAATAAATGTGATAGAATGCTTTTACAGCAAATACCAAGGCATGTATTACATGACTGGGAGCATGATTTGGTTTGTATTCAACTAGTGAACAATTAGAATCAGGCTCAGGTCTAGCATGCACATAATTGACTGTATGAGCACTGTATGGAGTGATTCCATCACGTATTTCCAATATACTATCAGTAACAGTTAGTGATCCAAAGTAATCATAACCAAGCAAAACTATATGAAACTTTAGTGATTGACCTGGATAAATCTGTTTGTTATTTGCATTTTTAGTACAATTACAGAACTGAATTTTCCGTACATCACCTGTTGAACTAATATTTGGGTTTGTTAAGTTGAAACGATTGCTTCTATGATTATTATATCCATATATATCATCACCAAATGCAGCACTATTATTTATTAATGTAAGAGGTATATTTGGTGCCTCTAATATTATGAAACTCTTTGTTAACTCTTCAACATAGATTCCTCCACCTTTATAAGAAGCATGATTATCAATAAACTCCAAGTTAGTTGATGATGACACTATCAATTGCGATGAGTCAGTTATTGATAATCCTCCTCCTACTACTCCAGTATTGCTTCTAAATATTAATTTATTCTCAATTGTTACTATTGATGTTATAAGTTTTAATCCTGTTGAGGTACTGTTAGCAACAGTAACATTTTTGAGACTAATAAAAAAACTGTTCTTTATCACGTTTGCTTTATTTCCGATAAATTCAGTATCTATTATATTGATTTGGACTGATGTCAAGAATTTTTCATCAATAAATAAGCCTGCAATTGTGTTGTTAGATATCAAACATGACTTAATAATAATAACAAAGTGATTGCTATTTGTTCTAGGTAAGTATGGAACTCCAGATATTCTAATTCCATGCCAATTATCACAAAATTGACTATCCTCAATTACAAAAGTAGAAACTAATTGATAACCAGGAAATTTGCATTTCTTTGGGTTCAGCTTTGCATTAAATGTGATACGAAAGATGTGGAAATCATAAAGTCCTGATCGAAATGATGAGTTCTTAATGTAACAAGAAAAAAGACTATTACCAAATTGCAAAATAAATTGAGAATGAGTTATATAATAATGATCAAAGATGGCTGATAGATTGTATGAGGCACCATGAAAAATATACAGGCTCAAGTGACTGTAAGTCAATGATGTGACATTAGTCACTATTAATGAGTAATGAGGTAGTTCAGTGCTGCATACTGGAAGAGGCTTGTACGTAATAACTACAGCATAATAATAGAAAACTGAGGATGATACCTTAACATCAAAAGCATTGTTTAGTTTCATTGTCTTGACAGCTTTTGTTCCATTAAATGAAGAGTTAGTTACTGTAATATTGTTAGATGATTGAGCAGTGACATAAAAGTTATTAATGAACATGTTGGAAATAATGACTTGATTGCTATTATAGATGAGAATAGACCTTTCATTACTCCTGCTACTAATAAGACAAGCCTGATCCAGTCCACGTAGAGTAACATTCCACACTGCAGTCATGTTAACATCATCATTAATGTCACTGGTTCCAATGAAGTAGAAGATGCTATTATTGTATTGAGACATATCCCCAGCATACACTGATAAAGGATGACAAGGATTATGAGTAACTGAACTGCAGTCATCAGACACATAATACTGACCAGAGGAGATACTGCAGGAGCTACTGAAGAATAAGAGAACAACTACTAACAGGAGAGACATACTCTTGCTTTTACCAATGTACACTGTTATAGTATACTTGCTGATGAAATACTTGCTCTTAATTATATAGGCAGCTCAAACTTTCTAAATATGGAAATGTACAATTACACTGCAGAGTAGTCATTGGCTAAACTTATTTTGTAGATAAAATCTAATTTTTAAAGTCATTCAACTTGCTGTCATTTTGAACTAATGTCTGGTACGTATTATTTAATGCTAGAGCTCATGCTAGAAAGCTCCTGTCTTCTAGTTATACCTCTCTCTTCTGAGACTTAATTGCAGGGTCATTGTCATTTGTCAAGTATCGGCCATAACCAATTCACTACTTGACTTAAGTATTGAGATGTTTTGGATCTGTTGTTATAGGTGAATCATAGATATTGGGTAAATTTACTATTTTATGAGTGATGAACTGACTATATTACGGATCAAATTGGGTTAAGTAGACAAAGAGGGGAGGGAGGACATTATGTGTGTATTGAACTATTTCTTCTAATTTGTACAAGTACAAATCTAACAATTCTGAGAACATTTCAAAGCATATGTTTACACAAATTACATACATTGTCAGCACATTCATTGTCTGCAACCACAACATTAAACTGTCTACAACTTGTCCAATTTGTATTTGTACAAATCATAATTCTCTGAAGAAATGTACAAACTTGATTGGAATCAGCTCAAAAAATGAATAATTCTCTCCTAGTCAATTTTGGCAAAATTTGGCCATTGACTCT